TGCACCAGGTCCTGGAACATAGACATGCTTACAGGCGCCCGACAATAGCAGTATTTCTCGACTTGAAAGCGGCATTTGACTCCGTTGATCGAGAAGTCTTATGGCAATGTCTGTCACTGAAAGGTGTGCTGAGTAAGTACATCACCTTATTGAAAGCTCTCTACTCGAACACTTATGGGTGTGTTAGAGCCTATGGTGAATGTCCAGGGAGCTATACTCATCGAGTGGTGTCCGTCAAGGATGCCTACTCTCTCCATTCTTATTTAATTTTATCATAGATATTCTTATGGAGGTTTCCCTCTCGTCACCTAATTACACAGAGTTTGACCTAAGCGCAGGAGAATTTTCATTAGACCTAGAATATGCAGATGACTTAGTCCAGTCAAGTGAAGATGCTGACAAGATGCAGAGTATTCCGAACACTGAGTGGCAATTTGAGAATGTTTGGGACGCGCTTCTCAAATGCAAATTGTTGCTCCAGGATTGGTCTTCAACGCTGCTACGGCTAACACTAAAGAGTGTAGTGATTGAGTGTGTCGACCGCCTCTTACCTGGGAAGTAGGATCAGTGGCCGATGAAATCTCTGTACGGATGCAAAATGCTCGGCTGGCTTTTGCCAACTTACGCCAGTGTGTCCGATTGTCTATTAAGGGTCACGTGTACTGCACAGCAGTCCGCTCTGTTCTACTGTACGGCTGTGAAACATGGCCATTGAAGGTGGAAGACATAAGAAGGCTTCAAGTGTTTGACCATCGTTGTCTTCGAAGTATAGGCCGTATTCCGACGTGTCACCAAGTGAGTAACTCAGAAGTCAGGTGTGGAGTTTTAGGAGGAGGTAAATCAGTTGATATGGTTGTGAACCTTCATCGACTGAGATAGTTGGGACACGTACTACGTATGCTCAGTCACCGATTGCCTCATCACACAATGTTGGCCGATGTAGGTCCAGGCTGGGAAAAGGCCCGAGGTGGCCAGACTAAAATATGGCATCAATGTATGAAGTCTCTGACTGTTGGTTTGAGCCATGTGAGGCGATGCAAATTGGGTGGTTGAGGTCGGCGGGACAAGAGGAACCAGTGGTTGGAGACTGACTCTAGGTGATATGGCTCAGAATCGATGTCAGTGGCGCAGATGTATACACACATTATCCTCATCTTAACGCTATACCGAATCTCACCACCTTCTCATTCTTCGTTCCTCTCCTTTAGTACTTTATATTTCTTTTGACTGAATTTTCTTATCTTCATGTTTCACCTCACTGCCTTGTTTACCTGATGTACTGATATGAGGTGTGGCAACTCGGACCGTTACGCAGTAATGTGTGGTCCTATGTTGATATTGATTGATGGACTTAACCTCAAGTAAGGATGCAGCACCCACTAAATCGTAAGGTATCAGAAAACAGCCTTTTGACCAAATTTTCAAGTATTTTACTTCGAAACCTTTAGGTCTCAACGTAATATTGAAATTTATAAACCAGCTGTCTTTTCAACTTTTAAATTTCTAAATATTACTAGTGAGGTTCATTCAAATAATCTAGAGAAAATAGGGAATTGCCAGTAGGCTAATTTACATCAATATCATCGTCCCATTGGTTCAGTTTTGGAATCACTTAGATGAATATTTTCACACTGCGTACTTCTACCGAGAGCAGTAAGAAACAGCCGCAAGCCTACGTCCCTAACCATAGTTGAAAATACATACATACTTTAGCTTTCAGTTTGATCTAAAAGTCAAAAAGAAAATTTCTTTACCGGTGTATTCGAGGTCAAAGACGATCGAAGGTAGCAAAATCAAAAATGATACACAGTATTTATACATAGAAGTTACATACGCAATAATCACCTAAAACACGGAGTATATTCTAGCGCACACTTAAAGACAAGATGTGTAGTGTAACCAACTACAGTGAAAAGTATGATTTACAATGTACTAGAAAAGAGGAAAAAGGGCTTCCATAAAAGTTGGCTTCAATCAGGATATTCTAACTAACACTTTAGTGTCGAGGAAACACCGAGTTGGTATCGTGAACGCTCGGCTGAGTGCTAGATAAGAGGTATGTCAAAAGATTAAGTTACCAGCCTTTATCAGCCCAAATGGACAGGCAGCCTAGGGGTGCTTACGCATGCCGGGATACGATGTAAGACATAAGAATCAACTTTGAGTGATACAGAAGTGTGTCGGTCTAAGCTGTCAGATTTCACAAAAGAAAAAGCCAAGACCGCTCTGATACATTCTCCACAAAAACTTTTACGGAGGTAAGGGGAATGACATGAGACTTTAATTAGGGGCACGCTGGTTGCAGCAGCAGGACAAAAAAAGTTGGTTTTTTTGCACGTAGTGCTTACAGTCGTCGTTTACTTTCAACTGCCCAACTAATTCCCTGATAAAATTTCTATACATGTTGAATACCCACCTACAACGTTAACCACTGTTAACATTTATGCAAACCATTAGTACGTTCTTGGTCTATAAGTGGCTGAGCATTACTGGACAACACAAATTAGAGTTTTCATGATTAATAAGGTGCCCTAGACTTGAAAATCGAGTGGATTGCCAAGACTACTGAAACTTCAGTTCCTGGTAATTCCGCGTCGTTGAATACTACATAGCCTGAGAATACCCAGACAGCAAACTTATGCGCACTTCATGATCTACAGGGATTTCGCAAACAAAACCTCATAGCACAGAGAACTGCGCTGACTTGAGGAACTTTAGAGAGTGTAGCACTTCAATCAGAAGTTTTTGAGGTGCATCAGACGATAATGACAGCTGAGTGAAAAAAGGAACTAGAAAAGCTAGAATGACAACCACGAGAACTAGGCTATGCGATGATGTGTTAACATTACAGTATGACGTTCTGCTAAAACTCAAAGTCGAGCGACTTGAATAATAGAGGAAAAGGGATATGCAAACATACAATGGTCATTCTAAATAACTGGATATTTGGTAACCACATAAATCGACAAGAGTAAACGGCTTTACTGTTGTATGCACATAAAGTAAGAATAACCGCACATACAAATAGGAAATTTGATAGGAAAATGAACCGTTAAAATCTGGTGAACGTACACTAACCAACGTTGACTGTAAGAACTTCAATACCCAATCATCAGACTAGCAACATAGGGCTTTGAACAGGTTTGACAAAACAAAAAGCTTGATACTTTGCACCACAAAATAAGGTGAATAAACCTTTGTTTAAATAATTCAGCTGGCGAGAGTGTGACTATATCATTTTCTTAGGAATAATTACGGCATTAAAATGCATAATAAGGTGCCTTATTCACGACCGCCATACTTGGGTAACAAGGCCATTTATTTATGAAGAACAAAGTGTTATTAGATTAAAAAAAATCATCATAATGAGCAAGTCTTTCAAACAGAAACATTCAAATGAATGTGTTTTTTTCACCTTATAGGGGAGCGGAATTCAAAGTTGGTGCTACACTTCAGACGAGTTCTATGTACGTTTCGCCTTTCATTTGGGTAGCTTATCCGTTGAGGATATTTTCCTTACTTCACCGTTCAGTCTTTTGCTGTTAGTTTATTTCAAATAGATATTTTCATTCCATTCGTGTGTATGTACAATAATTTGTCGGTAATTATCGACATATGTAGATGTATATGCATATTTCTGGGAGGTTTGGATTAATTTTTGTCCTAGCTGGGGGCTTAAGATCATAGAAACTACGATAATCATAGCATGAAGGCTGTATGATAAGATAGTTTTCTGTGCATGTGCAAGAAATCCTCAGCTTATTTTCAAATGATGGGGAAAATGCGTCCAGAAAGTTATCGCAGATTGTTTCGCATGTAGTTTAGGTGGCTCAGAGGGCTTACTGTTTTCTTTCTGTTGACTAACTGTCTGTATACTGAAGACTACTATAGTACTTGCTTACCTATACTTGTGTTACTAAGTTTGTCATAGCTTCAAAGGATCGTGCTTTGAACAACTGTCATATGTGTACTGTAGTACACTGAAAATGGCTATTTTAACCTACTTCATTATATTATGTATTAGTTACACACGATGCAGATAGTAGTGCGTCACTTAAACCGCAACTTATCAAAGGCACGGGCGAGGGGGGATCATTACGCCCGGTGTTATCAGAATTTTTCTAGGATTACTTGAAGTTTCTTACCTGTAGCCGCTGTTGTATATTATCTTACTGGTTGCAGTCAAAATGTCTTTATGACAGGCGAACACTCACTTACTCAACATAACTTTAAAGTATCGTCATAGAACCACTCATATCAGCCTGTTGGCCGGACCACAAATGTAGATTGTAGTAGGGTTGGACGTACATTCTTAGCGTTACTACTTTCTTAACCTGGTGCTAATAACTAAGGCATCTCGATTGCTAACCGAAAACTTGAGATCACTTTTATCTTAACCAGTTCAGATGCATCGCATCACTACGTTGAGCAATTTGAACTACCTCATTAGGGTAGGTGACAGTTGAAATTGAAGTTATATAAAACATGGAGTAAAAGCAACGTAAAATCTTGCACAGAAGTGCTTTGTTCAATATCGTTGAACTCCCTAGTAGCAAAAAGATATAAATTCACAGAATATTATGTTTTTCGAGATGTCATACATCATTTGTTCAAGACGACATTATGCAACTCAAATGACCCAGTAGAATCCATCCTTGGCGTTCTCAAGACTTTGAAAGCTTCATTTTAAGGTCACGAGAAGCTATGATTTGTATGTTCATTTTTGATCGTATCTTAATTTGCGCAAACAAGCTTATCTGCCTTTGAGTTGATACTCATTTTCATTTTCATGCGACTTTTAGCTTTTCGAAGTACTCAGTGGTCCATATTTTGCTTATAAACACCATTGCCTCAAAGTTCCTTGTGAAAATTATAGTCAGCAAACTCTTAGTGCCAAATCCAGATAATCTTCCGAGTTGTAATTTTTCGAATGGAAAACTTTCCTCCACATTTTTACGAGTCTATTTAAGTAACGCGATCAAAAACACATACAAAGAAATATGTTTACGAACGAAGATATGTTCGATGATGGAGAATTATCTGTGGAATATTCTTCAGATGATAATTCAGAACCGAATGTGGATTTAGAGAATCAGTATTATATGGCTAAGTCACGGAAAGATGACAACCCAGATATGGCACTAGTTGAATTTCAAAAGGTTCTAGATATAGAAGGCACTGGAACCAAAGGTGACTGGGGATTTCGAGCGTTGAAGCAAATGATTAAGATAAATTTCAGACTTGGAAGGTTCGATAGTATGATGGAAAACTACAAAATTCTTCTTACCTACATAAAATCTGCTGTCACCCGAAATTATTCAGAGAAGTCGATTAATTCAATTCTGGACTATGTTTCAACCTCTAAGCAAATGGATTTATTGCAGCAGTTTTATATTACTACTCTAGATGCCCTTCGGGAGTCAAAAAATGAAAGGTTGTGGTTCAAAACTAACACAAAATTGGGAAAACTTTACTTGGAACGTGGTGACTACATACATTTACAAAAGATTGTTAAAGAATTACGGGAATCTTGTCAGACAGATGATGGGGAAGATGATCTAAAAAAAGGGACTCAGCTGTTGGAGATTTATGCACTTGAAATTCAAATGTATACAGCTCAAAAAAATAACAAAAAACTGAAAGCCTTATACGAACAGTCTTTACATATCAAGTCTGCCATTCCACATCCTCTAATAATGGGCATTATTCGGGAATGTGGTGGGAAAATGCATCTTCGTGAGGGAGAATATGCCAAATCCCACACAGACTTTTTTGAAGCCTTTAAGAACTACGATGAATCTGGGTGTCAGCGCAGAACGCACTGCCTTAAATACCTTGTTTTAGCCAGTATGTTGATGAAGTCGGGAATTAATCCGTTTGATTCACAGGTTTGCAAATGGTTTCATTTTTACTGTTGTTTGCTTCATTTTTATAAATGTAGAATTATATTTAGAAAAATTAGTCTATAGGAAATCTTAGTTGAAAGCATTCGTATAGATTTTAAAGTGGAAATACATCAGTGATTTGGTAAGTGTAAAAGGAAATAGACTCCAGCTTTGAACAAAAAATATACATAAACTTAGGGTTCAACAGATAAGTAACTGTCTAGTCGCACTTCAACAGTTTCTTTTGGTTCCTAGAACTTACAAAACCTCGTGTATAAAATTTCCTGTATTATGCGAATAATCTTCATATAATTGAAGTCATCAGTCTAAGTTAATAAACCGCAGTGATAAGCGTATGTAAGAGAAGAATGTACTTCTCTGTTGCGGTTATCTTTGCAATATGGTTTTTCACTTCGGTAGTCCCTAAGATAAAATGTGTCAAAATGAGGGGGTAACTCGAAATTAGATTTTGTACAGAATTTTTTTGCAAGTTATTAATAGCTAGCGGCCACTCGAGTTACGAAATAGTTACCTGAACTTCAGTAGTTGTATGTAATATTGATAATGCAGAATCTTGAATTTCTTGATGGATTCATTTTCTCAAGAGTTCTCTTCCCCTCTATGTTTTACTACTAGTACAGTCCGGCGAACCATCCCAACCAATTTTTTGAGAATTCTTCACCTACCAAGCAGAACGTTGAGGTCTGTATATTTATAGCAAGTACTATACACTACTAATACGGACAACAGCAACATGAATGTAAGCTGTGGAAGCTAGAAGTCCACCTCTCTTTATGATTGCTCTGCCAAAGGTTAAAAAGTGACTAGGCATTGCTCATAATATTTCACAGGAAATGTTGAGTTGAGCCAATGTTTATTCGCTGGCGTTACCAACACCTTCCTCAATGGCAATTTCAATTCATATAACACTTAATAGTTCAGTGTCACCCACTTTGACCTAGACGGTGAGATATTTTGTCAAGTCTTAATAATCACTAGCAGTAGTACAAATCCACTGATGAGTTGAAGCCGGCTTATATTTTATGAAGTTCATGTATTTGAATAAATGTCCTGATTCTATTTAACAGACTATCCTTGCGTTCGCAGCACCTTTGTTATTATGAACGATATTCGACAAATAAAATCATGACGCGATTTCAAGAGCCTATAATCTTAAGCTTTTCAGCCGGAAGGCTTTAATCGTTCTTACAGTGCACACTGCTCTAGTAATGGTCGGAAAGATAAAGTTATACAAAAGATTGAGCTGAATGTCTTTTTCAGTTAAGTAAGATGACACATTATCTAGACTACTTATTACTTTTATATTTGAATGTCTTTTGTTTTTCAGGAAACGAAACCGTACAAAAACGATCCACAAATTGTGGCTATGACCAGCCTTGTAACAGCCTATCAAAACAATGATATTGTGGAATTCGAATCCATCTTACGACGTGAACGTGATTCGATAATGGAGGATCCTTTTATTCGAGAACATATTGAAGACTTACTTCGTAACATCAGAACTGAAGTCCTAATCAAAATAATCCGGCCGTACACCAGAATCAGGATACCTTTTATTTCACAACAGTTAAATCTTAGCGATCCTGAGGTAGAAAGTCTTCTAGTTGCTTGCATCCTAGATAACACTATACAAGCAAAGATCGACCAAGAACACCGAATCTTGGTAGTCAGCACGGAAGCTACTACAGAGGCTCGCTATCAAGCCCTTGACAAGTTGGCTCTGAGGTTACGTCATTTACAGACTGCTATGTCTAACAGAATACCGATTTCCAACTGAAACGAATTTTCGAAATCCAGAGGAAGTGACCCAGTGTTGGTTCCAGAAACTCAATTAATTACGTTCACATTGTCTCCATACATTAATTGCTCATCAATGAGAAGGATATAAATTGGATTGAAAACAAGCATTGTATTTTGTAGTTCATCATTTGTACTTTATTACTACAGAATATTTTCATGCTCTAACAAATATATATAATCCACTCCCGGAATTCTAATAAGAATTGTAAGTCTGCAGACTGTAATTTTTGAGGATCTTAACATCTTAGTGCAGGTTAAGACATTAGGGTGCCCACATCACTTCCAGGAATAATGCAACTCAGCAGTCTCTTTACATAATCTGAACTGGGCCTCTGATAGTATCTCATGTGTGAGTACGAAATATAGTATCCAGTTGGCTAAGTAGAGTGGACTTTGACTTGTTACCCAAAAACGTTTCACTTTCGATACGAATTAAAGAGAAACAGAACTGAATGAATTCATACATTTTGCTGGAAATTTTCTGCTAGATCTTCTGCACATTCCATTAAATTTAGCATGAAGTAATACAGGAATACAAACAAGTTAAAACATCAGTCGAGGCGGAAAATAAAGAAGTGGACAACTTCTAACAAGTAGGAATGTGAAAATATTAGAGGGGATAATCAAGTTGATAGTAACTAAACAATATATAGCATATTCAGCTGATGAGTTCTGTTGTAATTTATGAATCCATTAGCTTCTGCTTTCTCGGTCTTGTTGCTCGTAATGTAGTTGCCAAATATCAACCGTCAAAGTGACTGAGTCACTCTGTATGTCCATAAGTACTGATAATATGGTAAAAAGAAACACTTGAAGTTGTTAACTAACATATACACCATATCGTCTGCTTACTTTGGCTTTAGCACATAACAAACGAAAAAAACCAATAATTTAAGAACAGGAATTCATCCCAAAATATCGAGTATAATTAACAAGGCAGCTGATTTCAGCGAACGGAATAAACACAAACTGTAAATGTACAAGCGATATAAATTTATCCATCAATTGGTAAAATGTACAGCGTGGACTGTGTACAAGCTATACATGATGCGTAGGGTTTATCTATAGCAACAAAACCAATTATTGGTTCACTGGTTGGTAGACTAATTACATATTGTGCAGCCACGTGCACAATCTTTTGTTCTATGGAAGATGAATCAGTTGCAATACGTTTCCGGAGTTCCGTATTTTTGATATCACTTGGAAGTGGTTGAAGATACACATAGATTCGTCTCGCAGAATCAGCAACAGCTACAAATTTTAGTGGAGTTTTGTTGACTAAGACTGGACTAGAAACAAATCGACACTCCCGTTTGCTTGCGAGGACGTAACCGAACGCTTGCAAAGTTGAGACATGTTTCCATATACACTGGTCTTTATAAGGATTCGTCGTCATAGAAACTGACTGACACAAAGGTAGCCAGACAATCCCATCTACATCGTGACGAATGCAGAAAGCTTGAGTTGATTTTGAGCCTGATACACATCGAACTTTGAATAACCACTGATGTCCAGATAAATGGACCTACAGAAAAGAATTTGTGATGAAATAGATGAACATTTAACGGTAATTTTTAAGACATTTCGCGAAAAAAGTGATGGACGTAGAGAAATGAAGATTTAGTAAACTCATAATCTACATTGGGACTCATCAGTTGGATGCTCTACCTACTCATCTCATATACGTTATGAGGCAAAACAGGAAAGCAGACAGAGATGCATAATCCAAACTGAGACATCAGTTGAGGAATAGCAATAAGGAAATAAACGAGTTTTCAGACCAGGTGGTAGTGGGGAAGGTTGAAGTGGGTGCTGAATATGAAACGGTGATTTAAATGATGTAATCGAAATAAAACTTCGTCTTTAAATTGAATAGGCTGGATACAAATTACATACCTCGACGTGTCGTGCTAGGGTTCAGGCCAAGTCAAGACCTGGGACCAGTCGATGAAGTCTCTTACTGTTGGTATGAGCCGTGTGAGGAGGTGCAGACTGCCTGTTTGGGGTCCCCGAGACGAGAAGAACCAGTGGCTGAGGACTCTTGGTGACATGGCTGGAAATCGGTCATAGCGTCGTAGGCGTATTCATCCCTTGACATTTAAAGCTTGAATGTTCGCACTAACCTTTATCTTCAGATGGTTTTTTCTCATGCAACTTTACCTACTTTGATATCACTTCCTGTCCACCTCTTCTTTGTGCACTACAGTGAAGTGTAGCAACCTGAAGCGATGCACTTGTGTGTGAGGTTTTGCGTTGATTTTGTCTGTCTCAATCTGAATCGCGCGTATAATAATCAAGTAAGATGTTGGGTAATAGTGCCATGATTATGAATCAGAATGACGTAGTTCATCTTCACCCTTCTGTATTACCGAAGCACTTGTGAAGACTGTTCATTCCTACATGGCTACACATCAATTAATGTGTCAATTTGTACTGGGTGATGATTGAAGGTGATATGGAAATCTGGACCGCATATATGTTTATTTCCCTGTAATGTCTCGTCATTCATATGATTAAGTAAATAGAGTATTCAGCTGGAGAACTCTACAAAAACTAATGAAATCATTAAATCTTGTCCTTCTTTAAATCCACTGCTTATTGTCGATCGTAATTTGACTAAAAGTGATATTGAATTGTGTTCATATGACAGTGGTCGGATCCTTTACAAAAATATCAAGAAACTATGACACCGGAATACCCAAACTATGTTGCCCTTACGATTATAAGTACAGCTATTGTAATATTGTGGATCATTGGGTTAAGCAGTTGACTTCCAACCAGTAGGTGACGGTCTCTAATTCAGCCCCAATTACCAAATTTTTGGCAGCCAGATAGTATCACTAACCCTCACAAAATAGATGCGGCTGATTGGCTACTGTATGCACGTGCAAAGTTACTGAGTGCATTTCCTTTTTGATCTGGTTGCAATAGGTATAAATTTGTATAAGAAATAAGTGAATTCATTGTTTTTGAAATCTGAATTCCATTGAATAGTAAGCATGCTTATACACTTCCTTTTTAGACAATCGCAACGAAAAACAATAAGTTAATCTGTAAACAACAACGAGTGACTGGTATGCAGTGGGAATGAATCTCTTCGTATTAGTTGCCAAATATGATGACACAAAGGAGATAATAAACAGACGGATAAGAGATACCAAGTCAATAATCTATCCAGCTGCATAACTAGTCCCAGCGTATCGAACACCATGCTTAATCATTGAGTCAAAAGTTAGCAAGTATATTTAACGAACAGAAAGATGGTTATCTACTCGCATTCTGAAGCATAACCGGGAGATTTGAGCTTAAGGTGTCATGCTTCTCTTACCAGTGCAGCAACCCGCCACATAATGCACACAGCATGACCAAAAAGAATCAAAAGGCTCCGCAGTTTTCAAAAAACGGAAGCCACCAAACACACACCCATGGTTCAAGTTGCTGGAGAAGCTTACTGGCCGACTTGATGTGGGGTGTGAATACTGAAGACTCCAATGTGTAATTTGGCGCATTGTTTTGGGAGACCGGTGACGTTGTTATGTGAACTCAGATCGTTTTCAAGGGCTGTACAGCTAGGGAAAATTGAAGATTATGTAATAATTACCAACCAAGAGAAGTGATGGACGATTAAAGGGTAAGGATGTAGAAGGTGGACAGTGGTCTGAGGAAACTTGAGTGCTGGCAGAGTTGTGAGAGCGGTTAACACTTCCCGGTCGCCTACATAGCCGAAGGCTATTTCTTTTGGAGGTGCTTAGAAAACAAGGGCTAGTAATGGTGACGTGTGACCACACAACCCAAAAGATATCTGCTTTAGGCCGGTAACATACGACCTTTTTAACAGTTCGACAGTTTAGTTTGACTCAGCAAATCCAACTGTGAATCCGTATCGTGGGCACTGGCATGCTATGGAGTAAAGGGAAGTGTTCTATTTTCAAGGCCGTTCTTTTCTAACCCCTATCCCTTCCTATAGGAAGGGCAGCAGCAGCGTGGCACTGCAGCCCATTCAAAAGAAGCATCTTACTGCCATCGCACCGTGGTCCATAAAGTAGCACAACTTCGCCCTTAAACTCCATCATCGCGTAAAATCTACTCTATAAAGATAACTGTTTTTCGTCTTGCCACTATTCGACAGACCTTTCTGGTATGATAGGAGCTAAAGGAAACAAGCGTTTCACCGGTAAAGGTCGTTGGATCATTGCAATACGCAATTCCGACCATTAGGTCAAGGTAGCGACTGTCGGTCGGGCCGTTAACATATCTTTGCCGGTACCGGAAGTGACACAAGTTGATAGATATCAAACGAGTCTCCCGTATTGTAATTGAGATTTCGTCAGCTACTAACCCATATGGGTTGATGCCGTATTTCAATTAAATGGAGTGGCAAATACACTCTGCTAATCCAAGCCCTTATTTTCAAATTGAGAGTTGGTGCAGATCACCTCTGAGGCATTGTCTTACATTCGACAGGCGCAACATACATGCGTAGCATACTCAGACTTCTGCTCGAGGTGTTTACAAGATCCTGCATTTTGTTGACACCTTGGTCTAACAAGATAATTTCGTCTGCGTGTTCTAGGTTGACCATGTGCCTTCCAATGAGTATTCCAGTCCTTGTAAAGTCGCAAGTACCTATGGTTATGTCCATTACCACATCTATACCAAAGTAAAACAGGAACGGTGAAACTGGTTGTTGTCACTTCAGACGGTAACTCCCCGTAAACTCTTACTCAGAGTTGCATGAGTTCTAGTAAAGAGATTTGATTATTTCATACTCTCTAGGGCTTTCTTTAGTCAGATACTGCCACAACACTTTTCGGTTGACAGAGTCGAATGCCGCTTTCAGGTCGAGCAATACGGCAAATTTTCGCCCCGATAAGTATGCCTGTTTCAAAGCCTATCAAAAGATGAGGGTTTGATTGATACACCTTAGTCTACTTCTGAAGCATGCCTATTTTCCTCCAGTTTACTGTTCTCGAGCTCCGGTTAAGCGAAATATAGCTATGGACCCTAAGGTGGACATTAAGAAGTGCATCAACGGTGCACATATTCACTTAAGATAACCGTGTACAGGTTGTGTTAAGAGTTGTTTTTACTTGGAGTTTCTCAACAACGAAAGCACATACAGTATTTGTCTGCAAATTTAACTGGTCTAACCACCTAAACTGTCTGATACAACCTGATTTGTCCATTGTGTGAAACAAAAATAGGTTTTGTATTCGAAAATAAACAGCTACTTCAAAGTAGAAATGCCGACAGCAATCAATACCTTATGAGTACATTTGAGGGGTTCATGGTCAATACGTTGTAGTACCAGATCAGTATCATCTTCACTCATAGGAAAATCAACCTCTTCCAGTTGTCCGACATTGAAAGGTGGTTTAGATGTGATATCGGCCTCTACATCTGGTCGGTCTTCCAGAACAGGGAGTTGTGATTTCTGCACCTTAATCAGTTTGTCATCTTCACGTGAATCGAGTAATAAACGAGGCCAATAGTGAGTATTTTGTTTAATCATATGAATTTCAATGCTGCAAATAAGGAAACAAGTTTTTTAGCTTTTATTTTCAGTTTAGGATAACAGATATTAGCTTAGCGTAGTGCCGAATAAGCTAACCTAGTAAGAGCAATATTTCTTCACTCAATCCATCTTTTAATTATTACCTGGCTGGAAACTGTTGGACTATTAGCTGCTACAATATCTCGAAACTCACATGTGAAAAAGTCCCAGTACTCAAGATGAATGTGCTCCGTCGGTGTAAGCTAGTAAAGTGAAAAGATGAGCTTTTTTTACATAGACTAGAATACTACGTCTACCTATAAGTCCTGATCTGACTTTCTTTTCCCAGCTACAGATGATTCCCCACCGAAAACAATGAAGTCTTTGAAATTCAGACAAACTTTCAGAGTCATAAAAGATTCGCTTGTGACTTTTCCTGTGTTTTGATGGAACAACTAACCGTACAATACGCATTTGTTTAAACTCTTAGTTTTTGTATGTTTCATGCTAAGTAAGCAAAATACATTCAGATATTTTTTAAGCATATAAAATGTTTCGCAAGAACTTCTAGTTCTGAATCAAGTTGATATGAATTTAGGAAATAAGTAAAACGCTAGTTTCTTTTCACGTTAAATTCTTGACCATAAAATTGAATTGAATGTAAAGCGTCTAAAACGGCTATGAGTGGTTTATACTTCTCAAAAGCAGCACACAAAATTTGATATGAATTTATCTGCCAGACAGGAAATTATTGTTATCTATCATTTGCTAATCATAAAGAAAAACAATATATTTATGGACATACCAGTTGCTGTTACGGTCATATGTCCATGAGGATGTGGGCTTCACTGGTGCATACAGAGTGTGATCAATTAATGTAATTGGATCATTACTGACATTTTCAGCTCCAACAGAAACATGTGAGCACAATTTCACATGAAGTACTTGATGATCAGACTGGTCACCAGCTGTGATCTGTACTAGAACAGTATTCCGATCGTATAATGATGGCAGTTTTATGTTATTTAGTGTAAAAGCAACGCTGAATAAATCTGAATCTGTGTCTTCGTCTGCATCATTTTGTATCCACGTTACAGTAAACCTTGTGTCCTGTAAAACAGACGCATCTTCAGTGTCCATTGCTTTTGACTCATTACCTGAGTGACGATAAACAAAACCCACTAGAAAAATCAAAAGTCGACCTCATTATTTTCAATGCCAATATGTAATTCCTTCCAGTCTACCATAAAATGAAATACTACACGTAACCATAATCATAAAGCTTCCTTCTAATACTTACCTTTTAGACTCAAGAGGGTCACACATATAAATACTCATAGTAAAACATTATACCACATATTAATGTGACAATACTGCAACTCACCAACCATGTGGATATTTATGCACTTGGCAGAGATCCATGCCTACTTTATCAAGGCTAACTGTGCTACTGGGCGCTCAAACTTTTTTAAGTGAGAAAGGTTTCGAAACCGCAACCCATATGCTAGAATTTTAAGTGCTCACATAAAAAACCACAGCTCCATGTGTCACCTATTACCTATAATATTATTATAGACAACTTTCTTCCTCCCCACTACTTTCGCAATTAGAAGTGCTGACAGCATAAATAACTTTCATACAGTTGAGTAAGGGATTCGCGAATAACAAAGTTGCCATAACACTACTTAACATCTGGAAATTGCAAATATATGGTGAAATTTGAGCAACTTACACGGACATTAAGATCACGTACATTAGCCAGAACTAGTAAAAACGGAACTCAGCTTCCTTTAATATTTTTAATATGCAAACATAAGTATTAATTCATAAAAAATTTCGGTAACCAACAGTCTTACGAATTAAATAACAAATGTTCAATAATTGAAACTAAAGTGCTTATCAGTACATTTTAAAGACGGGGTAGTGTCACTAGTTCGCACACAACAAACATAACCTGGTCTACGGCGTAAAACACACGTGGTTGTATTACGTTACTGCTGAAGCATTACAAGTTAATTGTATTAAGAAGGCTAAAATTGTTGGTCAAAAAATCGCCAAGCGTCCTTTGTCAAATTACCAGCAAATTTGTCTGTTTCGGGCTTTAACAACAACAAAAAAGTCAACAAGTATAGTATCTTATAACAGTATGCAAAGCTTACTCTTATTAGGATCAGTTTTGCAACAGGATGAATCATTAGAGTCGTAAATAACCTGGAATATTCTTTCGGAGCAGATATGAATCGCTGAAGCACCATCTTCTAATGCAGCAAACTCGGGAAATGAAGATGCGCCAAGCTTTTGGTGTCGAACCAAGGACCAGGATAGATTGCATACTAAAATAATTGACATTTGAAATTTTTCCAGAAGTAAAAAACAATGCAACGTGGAAACTGCATACAAATTCAGATACTAGTACATGAGTCAAGTGTCATAGCTTCAGGAAAAAGTCTGAATATGCAATACATGAAAACAATATTGACACGAACTTTCGAAGGTGAAAATGAGTATATTACCAAGCATGTAGCAAAAACAGAAACAGAATCAAAAACGTAATCACTAGTCACGACGAAAATGATCACCATTATCAAGTGAATTAGTGAGATGACCAACAGCAGAAACAATATATGAATGTACACACTGGTTATTAAAAACATCTATCAATTTAGCACAGTAATGAAAATATGTTTAGTACTGATGACACACAATTACTACCTTTAAGGTGTAGGCAACGTGCGGTGAATTTTGTTGCATGCAGGACAATAAGCACTGCTTAGGACGTATAATTCTTGTTGAACGATGTTTGCGATATAAGATGAATTCATTCATACTTTCTATTGCCACCACGTTACCTATGTAAACTTATCAACCTTTAAAGGATACTGATTGATCACATTTTCATACAAATTTTTAGCGTTGAGTTAGTTCTTAGTAGTTTGCCTTATGATAGCGTGGTTTATGTGTTTTACCTTGACTGCAGTAGAGTGCAATAACTGTAGCACAGGTAAATGGTTGATTACCCACCTGTTGTAAAGTCTGCTTCTGTTTTTTGAGAAAAATCTGTTATCGAAACACATATTTTACTCCTTCATATCACCATCAATGAAGCACGTAGAGGGAATAGCTTGGCGCTTTCTTATACAATCAATACTGTAAACCTGTTAAAAATATAGGACTGTCCAGTATTTTTAAATGACCGTTAGCGGTGATATCTCTAAAATACACATTCGTTTAACAAACATAATTAGTTCCTCATGGCTTGTCCCACTAGATGGTCTTACGATACACTCGCTAATCCTTTTGTAATACAGGTTTTATTAGTAGTGTCTGCCCAGTTCCTCACATATAGCAAAACCACCATCTGAAATACATGATGAAACCAGCCAAATCGAGGGAGGAAGAATAATAGAGTAAATAATATATTACAACAGTCTCAGAAAAGAACAATAAGTTTTGGTTACGTAGGATCTGCACCAACTGTTAAGCAAGATCTGTATCCTTAAGTTATAAGTTGTCAGCAGGTAACAAAGAAATCTAAGTTTTAATTTTCAGTCAAACGTAATCCTGAATTAATTGCCAACATATAACGACGACAAAAAAATCAGTGTTTGCCGAAAAGTTTGTCTGTAGAAGTAGTGATGGTGCTTCTTTGAGCCTACGCTTTCCACTATAGCATACGATGTGAGCCTCTGCTCTAGTGCAACGCTAAATTAGATTTAGTGGCTTTCAAGATCAGCTTTCTGTTATGTTTTTGACGCTAATAGTTTTATGTATTCCGAAACGAACATAATACGCACGCTTAGCTGACAGATAACTTAGCACGCAAGAGCCACTGACTGCAACCCCGAGACGAATAGAGAAGACCGAAGCTGGATGACGGGAGAGTGTGTATTACTCCGAGAACATAATAACAATTCAATCCAAAACACGTGAATAAGTATACACATAAAATATGACCTTGTCCGCAACTGGAGACATTTTCATAGTAAGAGTAAGGATTAACCAATTAGCGATTTACATTTCAATGGGGCAGAAAGTAGACTACTAGTCATACCGTAAAAAATGGTGTGGGAATGACACGTTAAAATGTTCAGATCGATAACAATGTTTTATACAAAACTGGGCATCACAACACTTTCCAAGTCATAAATCAGTGATGTGGCTACATGACTTAAACGCGTGTCTTTCAAGCGGTACCTGCTGAGTTCAATTAACGCTTCACTTACTTCGGCCTGGACAACCCGGTAGTATTACAACTCCCCACAAGAAAAGTGTGGTTTACAGACATGAAAAAGTGATGTGAAGCTTTTGCAGTTTAATACTACTGAAAAGTCAAACACCAAGCGTCTCTACTTCTATTTTTCAGTCTTTCTTTGTTCAAATCCCCTCAATAATACTTCCGCTTATAGGTCAAGAAATTTCGTTAAATTCGCGCACTGCCTAATTTTTACACTGGAATGAACACGTTTAAATGCTATAGAAGCACAACCAGCTATCTAGAATCGCTGAGGTCCGTGTGAAATCACGAGCCTTCACAAAGATGTAACCCGTAGCGAGGCACATAAACCTGAGTATACTCAAAGAATTACTTTGAATTTAGAAACCATAGACAGTTAGTAGTGGCTCAAATATAATTCGGCGCACAAAGCTTTTCTAAAAGAAGAAAGAGAAAGTATGCAACCGATCTGATCAATAATAAAGTGCCACATACCCGGAGAGCTAAAAGAAATCCAATCAAGATACGTCATATAAGCCGAAGTTGAATCGTCAGATATGAAGTCAAGTTCATATTTCTTCGACACACAAACAAATAAGCAATGTAGGCAAAGTTGATTGTTTGTATCGTCAGTAATGATTACGCAATCTATCAACTGACTATGTTTTTCATGTACAGGAGGCTGAATGTTGCTAACAACCTGAAAAAATTAATTGAAAGTTTGAGAAAAATTAACAATTGGCTTTTGAAGTCAGTCAAAAGCTAGCACGATAATGAAACTACTTCTTACTTTGAAAAGAAATTCACCATTATTAATGGGATACAACTTTTTTTGCACATACACATGCACATTATACAAATGTACAAAAAAGTTATTATCAGCCAAGATCAAGTAAGTGGACATTTGGGAAAAACTAGATACAAAGATTCAGTAGATAAGAGGCGATATGGTGCTGAATTCCTGTAGTTATGTCTCATAGCTTACCAATGTGTCAAAATAGCCGTATTCTCTAATAAAAATTTCACATCTAGCCTTCCTTTTGAAGAGCGCTGTACGAATATATCATCCTGTCTACGCAAACTCGCAGATGAATGTTAGCTTGTGAATTGTCGTTTGAGGTGACATTTCAGCGACTGGTCTTGAATTCAGAGATTTGTTGATCTGATTACGATGTTTAGACTGCATGCTTATATTATACTGAGGTATAAGGTCTTTTGAACCTATCCCACTTACTACTTGATATAGCGAAAAATAGCTTATACGCCTGTGGACTCTAGAATAATAACCATTAGACTCCACCCTTGAGGGATATTCGGTTCCTTACAAACAAGAGTATGTGGCAGAAAGATGATACGTTTATTGGCAAATCAAAACGAGCACATAATGCAACTATATATATATATATATATATATATATATATATATATATATATATATATATATATATATTTCCGGTGGCCTTGGTATTTTATACACTTTTCTACGACAGCAATTCCTGTCAGTTTTGAAACTATTGCCTGATCTGAGACTCATACTTATGATCATGTGGCTTTTCACCAATATTCGAAGAATGATGATTTGTTGAGAAGTCTTACGGGGAATTCCGAGCTTTTCTGAAGGATCCAGTAAGTAATGCTACACTCTATAACAAAAACAATCTCTCCCAGGGAAATACTAATCACTGTCTTCACATGCCAGATGTATTCCCACAGATGTGTAAAGACGGAATTGAGCGTCCGAAGCTAGTCAGTGGATGCGGAGCGTTCACTCAATTCTGATAGAAAAGTTTGACTTGTAATCAGTGGCACACATGTGACATGATTACAAAGAAACAAATGGTGTACGAATCTACTCTGATTAAAGGTAACCATGAAAATGCATTTTCTTGATGTCCTTCTACTCCTTTGGAGAGTGCATTTTAGATTAAATATTTGAAATATCTCCTGTTTTACTCTCAAATCTTAAACAGCATTTTCGTTTTTATATAGGCTAAGACATAACAAAAAAGTGAAGATCTTATAGTGTGTTCCTCCATGTCTGTATTTTAAGAATCAAAACTACAAATACCTTAGCACAAATGCATTTTAAAGGCTGTTTGTGTGAGATAGAATTAACAAGTGACAGTGAAGTCAATCTTGGAATGAGACAATAAAATTCAGTCTTTGTGATAGAAATGCCTGGGGCGTATAAGAAATACTGCATTACTGCTTTCTCTAGCATACAATGATAAACGACATCCAAGTATTAATATAAGTGTAAAACTTGTGGACTGTGGTAGGATTTAATCCCATATTAGATTTGTTTATTCGACATAAATTGCACAGTGATACAGTACTATTCACATTATGACGTTTTATGCATATCAATGTGATACGATATTTCATATGATTGGTATGATTATGAGTAGTAATGCATGCTCAAAACGTCATCGAATAAATAATACTGTATCACTGTGCGCTACATATCACATGGACAAATCTGGTGTGGAATGAAATTGAAGTATGTTGGAAAAGATGCTAATAGCTGACAGACCAAAGAAAAACATCAAACCCTAGGCCTACTAACCGCTAGTTTGAGCTGTTAGACAAAATTCTTCCTAACGGGAATTTACATTGAGCTGGAAATCAGTGTTTGACTATGATAAATGACTGGTTCAACGACTGCATATTTTTAGTGTTTTGTCTTCCTTTAGGGACCGGATTTTTCGACTGTTTCATAATACCTGTAGCTTTACGATAGTAAGTGGTCAGAGATCTGGAAACTTTTGTCTTCAGTAAATGTAGGACTAAAACTTGGCCACTGTGGTAAATTGTAATTCTATTCACGTTTGTTTCTTGGATGTGTTGCATAGTAAAAGAGTCTCATTTACTATTTACGTTTCATCTGATATGAATATGGACAAAGAATTATGTCTGAAACGTTACCCAGGAAATAATTCCCTTTTAGAGTTTGTGTTTGTTCATCTGTTATCTAAAATAAATTGACAACAACCCGTGCAGCCTATAACTTCGACTCTTGAAACTTTTTGCGATCGATGTGAAGTTAATCATCAGGTTGCATAGTACAACTCCACCTTGCCTTTGTTTTGTGTACTGAAAGTCCAATTCTGTCGCCTCGAGTTCGCATCGATGGTGAATAGTTCCCTTTCAGCTAAAGATAGACATACTATGGGTAGTCGAAGTTGAAAATGTAGCTAATCAACTTCAGAGATAAACTTTTATGCAGTGGTCCTGCCCCACCTGCTTCAGCTTGAGTAACTGGGTGGTATTGTAAGTCCTCGCAGCATTTGACTCATGGTCTGGTACATCCAACGGTTGATTATACTATGTGACAAAGCTAAAAATGTTCTGTGATACTGTACTGAATATTTCTTAAACACTAAGGTGGTTACTAGCTTGCAGAAGATATTGACTATAACACTGACTAGAATTCGTATCATGATTATACTTTGTTACGCGTCCACCCAGTTGATCTCTAGACTGGTAACACAGAGCACCTTTTGATTTCTGCTACAATTTTTCTAGTGTACACTGTCATCAGTTAAATTTTTCTATAATGTATGAAAGTACTACGTTAGAATAAAGCGTAGGATTTTAAGTTGACGAGATTGCAAACCTTCTAAAACTCAGATGACTGGAACATGTATTGACCATGCCTAGTCAGGGAATTTTATTTAAAGCCTTAGGCTGGTAAAGGGTTTGAGGTGACCAGACTGAAACGTCGTGTCATTTCATGAAGTCTAGTCGCTGACTGTTTGTCAGAGTTGTGTGGAGAAATGTAGATTTCTCGGTTGGACCCCATGTGACAACTGAAATCGATGACTGGATATTTTAGGTGATATGATTCAGAATCGACTTCAATAGCACAGAGATATCCACACACTTTACTTGGCATGCCGAATTTTCTTTTTTGTTTCATCTATTTTTGTTTTCTTTCTACGACTTCCAGCAATTGTGAATACTTTCTCTTATATGTTTCTGCATTTCATCTTTATGTCTTCTAACTTGATGTGTTGATGTGAGGTGTGGTATCTTGAACAACTATACAGTAATCCCAGGTCCATCTTCATAATTTCATTGAGTCAATCAGAAACTAATATCTGCAGTGTCTTTATTATGGTCATTCACCCTAAACATTATAAAAGACGTTCGGAAGATGGAAAAATTGTGATTTCAAACTCCAACGAGCGCAGTTTGCAAATATGCTCACAAAATAAAGCGATAATGAAGGGAATTTTCAATTTTTTACTTTGTGGTTAATGTTCAGTGACAAAAGGCACTACGTAGGCTATACCATATAAGGAGAACGTTAATTTCATACTGGCTTTTGAGATAAAAGCATATTATCTTATCTTGATATACATTTAATACCAAACAGGATCTTTCAACACTCTTTGAGTGTTGGTTAGAGGCATGCAGGGAAATTTATACTTTCATCTGTATGACAAGTGAAACCAACAGCTGGAGACGCTAAGTAATATGTCACGATCTTAGTGATGGATTTTTTTAAAAATTTTAGTGTTTGTTATTTGCTTTACCATACTTTGTCTTTCCTTTTTACTTTTCGCGACTCTTTATTATGTCTTTCTTCCCTACCTCTCCAATTTTCATATCTCACCACCTTGTCTCGATGTGCTGTTGTGGGGTGTGGCTGTAATGCTGAGTTACACTGATATTGGCTAAGTGGTTTATTTTTTTTAAACTAATATAGTAGATGTGGTTTAAGTCCAACAATTACGATAAGGAACGAGCAGTAAGCCTGGAGTAGATATTGACCTGCATTTTGTGAGAGTAACTCTCTAAGCACTTGAAGTCACCAAATATTTTGGACCATATGTTTTGTGGAGGAGAACGGCTGCTGCAGTGAACAAATCAGAGAAGGATAATTTGGACTCGAACCCACAGACTTAGGATAAGAACATGTGGGGATTGCACGAAATTACTTATAAACTACTTAAATTAGAAATAGTTTTTTATCACTTTTTACACATTGCTTACATTCTTCTTAATCCTCAGGAAGACTAATGTTATTTGTGCAATTTAAAATTGGAATTTCGGTTGTGGCGATGTCGCTTTGATTCTGTTTTTAAACCTGGAAGTATAGTATGCTTCTATCTACTCCGACTTCTGCCTCCGTTAACTAATGTCTGACGTGAATACCAATTGATTATCCTTGGATTTTATAAGCCATCACATCCTACTTCCAACTATAACGACAGCCAAGTCAACCAACGTCGACTGTGGAACGCTAACAAGTATCACCTTCTAAACTAACATTCATTGGACTATATTGAACTGTGGTGGACAGTACCGAAGGGATAACATTCAAGTAACCAATTATTATCCATAACACTGGTTTTACTATTTTGTAGTGACGCATGACTTGATATTTGCTTTTGTCAACTTACGCCACCTGTGGCGCTGCCGTGGTAACCGAATGTCCATTAAGGGTCACGTGTACTGCACAGCAGTCCGGTCTGTTCTACTGTACGGCTGTGAAACATGGCCATTGAAGGTGGAAGACATAAGAAGGCTTCAAGTGTTTGACCATCGTTGTCTTCGAAGTATAGGCCGTATTCCGACGTGTCACCAAGTGAGTAACTCAGAAGTCAGGTGTGGAGTTTTAGGAGGAGGTAAATCAGTTGACATGGTTGTGAACCTTCATCGACTGAGATGGTTGGGACACGTACTACGTATGCCCAGTCACCGATTGCCTCATCACACAATGTTGGCCGATGTAGGTTCAGGCTGGGAAAAGGCCCGAGGTGGCCAGACTAAAATATGGCATCAATGTATGAAGTCTCTGACTGTTGGTTTGAGCCATGTGGGGCGACGCAAACTGGGTGGTTGAGGTCGGCGGGACAAGAGGAACCAGTGGTTGGAGACTGACTCCAGGTGATATGGCTCAGAATTGATGTCAGTGGCGCAGATGTATACACACATTATCCTCATCTTAACGCTATACTGAATCTCACCACTTTCTCATTCTTCGTTTCTCTCCTTTAGTACTTTATATTTCTTTTGACTGAATTTTCTTATCTTCATCTTGCACTTCACTGCCTTGTTTACCTGATGTACTGATATGAGGTGTGGCAACTCGGACCGTTACGCAGTAATGCCTGGTCCTATGTCGATGGGTGATGATGACCACTGTATCTATTTTAGCTAATTATAACTAGCTCGATATTTAAGGTCACTTGACATTTCTTTGGGTATACCACAAGCTTATGCGCTTAGAATAAGATATGATCTACAACCACTGCGCAAATGTTTACATCGATGTCTTTTGAAATGGTGAAATTTCACAGAACTTTATGAAGCATGAAGGAAGGAATCGTGGATAGAAATGTAGCATGTATGAGGCCTTTAAAAAAAATCAAAAGATTCACCCTACGCAATTAAAAACCTCTGGGTGTTCGATAATCACCTGAAAAAATTAAGTAGGGTTGGAAATAAAGTGAAAAAAACAGGAATGGTCATTTAGCCAACCAAAGAGAAAATGTCTTATTTCTCAGTGACTGAGATGAAATTTAAATTTAAATAGTAGCACTAATAAAACAGGACTTAAACCTCTTTGAAAAACACCAGGAAATGTCGCCGCCATCACACATTTGAGGTGGACCTAAAATCTCTTAAGACAGGAAATTTGCGTACTGTATTTTAACTTCAACCAGTAATCCATTTGGTATGGCGATCAGTCAAAAAAAAAGTTTCCAAAATATAACGCTGAATTGTTGAATTACGTAATTCAACGTGCTTATCGGTATGACTGAAAACTAGAGCACAAACGCCATTACACGAGACAAAACACTGCCTACAAAAAGCTGCAAAAGTAAGCAGAAACCTACAGTGAATAAGTCTTCAGAATATGATACATCCGATTTCAGGAGATATAGATTCCCCAAACCATCATATAACAGTATGTAGGATGGAGCAGGGAACTGTATGGATACATTGAAGTACTTTTCATTCGTCGATATATTATGCCAATTGGGAATTGTGAAGACAACCGTACCCTGGTTGAAGTTTTGTGGACACTGAGGTATATTGACTGATACGACCTATAGACAAGATGAATAATATATCACAGACATACGGATCCATTGGAATTTATGTAGTATATATAATTCGGATTGAAAGGATTGACGTGCAAGCAGTTGATGTTATTATATGCTTTCAGATGCTGCTTTGAAATAACTTCCTCAAGCGGTTTATAATTGACTTTAAACTCAACTTTCGCTTCATAAACAGGGATTTTGTGCAAACTGAGCTTGTAAGACTCGAAATAAGGGTCTAAAAGTGAACGATCTGGTCTAAGAGTAACATTCATGATGCAGAAAGCTAATTAATCAATAATTCTCGGTAAGTGCTGCAAAATTATTGTCAGCAGGAATGAGTGAAGCAGTTGCTTGAGTTGCGAAAACTAACAGCTAAAAACTAAAAGAATACGATATGATGGTGAAGCAGAAAAACTGGGTCGATTCACGCAGTAACTGATGAAAAAACTTGCAAACATACGGCTGACCTTCACGTATGTAATGCAGTACTTCGAAAGTACGCTGTTCTCATTCGAGGTCCAACATCCAACAACATTCATGTGAGTAGGGGCAACTTGCAGTTTTTGAGCTCTCACTTCTGGATCTTGAGGTTCGGTCCTTTTTGTTCACTCGTACTTCTTCGGTGATCACAGAAGTTTTTGCGCTTTTTCTCCTCATTGCTTTCCAATATCCAATATTGGTAGTGCGAGCGTAGAAAACTGATAGTTTTTGATCTCTCACGTCTAGTGCTTAGGGCTTGGTTCGAGTCGCTCGAGTCACTCCTGCAGTGGACGAGGAAACACCCTCTGCTTTCTTGCTTTTAGCTTCCGTGAGGTGGATGTTTTGTGGGTTAGTAGGTTGTAATTTGTAGAGTGATTAGGGAGCTACGGGTTGCTGGGAAGTTTAGAGAACTGCCATGACTCCTGTCTGTGTAGGTACCTGGAAGAGAATAGTAAGGTGGTGGTAAAGGAATGAAGAGAGAATAAAGAAGAGAGTGAAGTAGCACCATAGAGACTCTGGGAGCTGGGTTAAGGCCGTATCGCTAACCATCCTTGCCTTGAAACAGGAGTTCACGTAGATAGCCACTCCCCTTCCTGCTCTATGTTCCCTGTCCCTGCGGAAGAGTTCCATGCCAGCAACGCGCATCTCTTCGTCGGAGATGTCCGATGAGAGCCAGGATTCAGTAATGAATATGATGTCGTAGTGCTGATATTCACGCAGCGTCCTCATTTCTGCTACCTTCCCTCTTAGCCCCCTAACGTTGCTGTACATACATATTAGAGTGTGGAGGTCATGATTGTCTATTTCCAATATCCAATATCTGTTTACCGAGATTATGTGAACCATTTGATGTCTTTTTGCTCGCTTCTCGGTCTTGCGGGACAGTTTCAGGCTTTTGGCAGATTCAAATGCAGTAGACCCAGCCACTCGTCTGCCATAGCTCTGGTTTACATAACAGGAGTTTAAGTGGTGGTTAGTTTGCCTTTAGTTTGTGGTGCAGTTGGGTTGTTCAGATGTCGAGTTGCCAGGCAGTTGTTCATACTGGTCGTTCAGGATAGTGAAAAGAAAACTGAGAAAGATCAATTTATGTGGGTAAAAGGCAAAGAAAAGTGAACAAATGGAGTAATCTACTTACACTCAGTAGGGCGAAGGGGGCGGGGTAAAGAAGAACTTAGGTAGGCGAGGGTGATTCATGACAAGTGGAAGGGATGATTACGGTAGAAATAAGACTGGTGTAGGGGTAAAATAGCTAGAATGGTGTGACAGCAGTTGGTTTCTTCTGCTAAGTTCGTATTCCAGCTACATATGGGTAGACCGTGGGTTTCTACGTGACTGTCTAGTCTTTTCCAGAAACTTTCAACAGTTGGAGCAGGGACTACCTCTACTGGCAATGCATTTCAGCTCCCGCAGACTCTAAGGGAGAAGTGTGAACGCACATAAATTTTTGACCTTTGGTGGGCAGTTCTCTTGGGGTTCCCACGAGGATTATCATAGTGTCGACTCGGGAGTAATCCACTGTTCGAGTGACGGGAAATTCAGCGCTCTGTAAGCCATTATCAAGTCACCTCGTAACCCCCGGGGGCTGGGAGGGTATAGGCCTCGGTCCTTCATTCTATCGTCGGATGGTTTTTGTTGAATCCTAGCAACCCCTTTTGTGGCTCGCCCCAAAGCGATCACTGAACATCTTGTTGTGAATCACCTGGCATGTAGCACCATATAGCATATAGCTGCTGTTGAGTGAGGCTGATAAAGGTTTGTGGCACTAAAAGGGTAGTGTTGAAGCAGCTGCCAAATTATTTCACAAGCGGCGCCATCGAAGGCTTTTTCAAAGTCGATGATGTTGAGGTAAAGAATTAACTGCCATTCTATACTCTGTTCCATGCTGATGCGTAGCGTCGCAATCTGATCCACACATGATTTGTTTTCCTGAAGCCAGCCAGCCTATTCTGGTCGTAGTTTTGAAATCAGAGCATTTTTTAGTCTCTCCAGGATGATGTGACTTAATATTTTGCCTAAGGTGAAAAGAGCATGATAAAGCACAAGTTCCTGCAAACACTTAGCTTAGGTCAACTTTCTCTAGGAGTTTGACAAGGTAGTCCTTCTTCCTCCGACATGCAGGTACCTTTCCTTCCTTCCAGACCTTCTGCAATAGTTGTGTGAACACACCCGCTGTTGTCTCTGCGTCTGTCCTTAGTACTCCCGGAATAATTCCATCCGGTCCTGCTGTTTCGCTGCATTTCAGTAGCCTAATGGCGTTCAGGACCTCGACTTTCGTTGGAGGGCTTGCGTCGGCTGCTGGTTGTATTTCTGGACAAGTTGCGTATGGTGGTGGTCGGTTCAAGAGCTTTTTGATGTGGCCAGCCCATTGTTTCCTTTGTTTCTCCTCCTTGGTGATAACTAAGTTCCCTTCACTATCTTTCATTGGTCTCATCTGTGTTGAGCTCTTCCCTTCCGGATAATAACCTGGTTATTTGATGTGATGTCAGGTGTCTCTTACCTAAGGCCTGTTCTGCTTCACTTGCCAATGTGTCGTAGAAGTGTCTTTTGTCTTTGCGCGTACTCCACTTCTCTGTCCAGTGTCTTATAAGTTGCATTCAATTCCTGTCTTCGTTGTCCAACCCTACACTGCACCGGTTCATCATTACTATTATTATCTTCTGCTTTACCAGCTTACTCTCCCTCCTCTATCAGCCTCCATGTGTTCGTCGAGATCCATTCCTTGTCTTCTTTTTTCTTCCTTCCTAGCGTGGTTATGCAGATTTCCTTCCACGACTCTTTCAAAGAGTTTCAGTGTCCTTCCACCCAGGTTTCCTCGTAGATGTTACTCAATGTCTCCCATTTTGTTCTGATGGCTGACGTGAAGATGTCCTTTGTAGTTTCGTCCTTCAGTCTCTGTTCTGGGTGTTGAACTTGAACTGTGGTCTATCATCACCAGCTCCTGTGAAGGCCTTCAACTTGGTTTCGGAGGTAGGTTGCTTGGACTAGATAGTGAGTGGTGTGAACCTACATCGGCTCCTCTTGTTGATCTTGTTTGCGTCCAGTGGGCTGGCTTTGTCTCCACTTTTCCCAGATTGAGATGAAGTTGATCTGATTTTCAGTGTTTCCACCTGGTGACATCAAATCCACATGGCCTTGTGAATATCTGTGTGTTTGTACACGCTGCCTCCAACCACCAAATCATCAAGGGTACGGAAACCTGCAAAGAGTTGTCCATCCTCATTCGTCATTTCACTGAGTAGTTTTCGACCCATGGTTAGTTCTCTTCCTGTGTTGTCCGCTCCCAGTTTGACATTCATGCCACCTATTCGAGTTTTGATATCACCATCTTGGTTCTTGTGCACTACTGATTGCAGTTATCTGTAGAATTCCTCCTTCTTCTCTTGATCTGCATTATCGGCTTCCAGAAGGCTTTCACCAACTGGCGTCATTTCGTTTCTCCGATTCCAGTTAGGAATTAGTTTATTTTTGTTTTTTATACTTTTCCGTGCTGTGAAGTTTGTTCGGCGATTGAGGTGTTTTCACGGGCATGGTTGCTAGCTCTGTGCCCAGCCTTCTGTCTTCATCCGAGCTTAGGACCGCCTAGCAAAGTAGTGAAGTAGCAAGGTAGGCCAGGTTAATAATTGGCTCTGATATCTAGTATAAAGCGGAAGTTTAGTCTTCGGTGCTTTTCTTTGGATCTACTGGTGATTCCACTTAATTATAGATCTTTATCCTTTCGTTTAATTGTCTTTGGTCCCTCGCATCGACATTCCGTTCAACAACATCCAAACCGAAGACTAAAAGATGCGCGGAGTGCACAAGGCTTGATGAAAGTGTGTGGTTAGTAATTTGGCATTCCTGATGCTGGCAAACATCTCAAAAATGTACGATGTCAAGCAGTTGAATTATATGTTCCGGGGAAGAAATAGAGGTTTCTACAGGCTGTTCAGTCCTACATACGCATAGCACAGTCTGTATTCGCTCAGTGCTGTGATAAGTTAAACGGTCTCAGCAGGTTTGGTATGTCATACCTTCAGATGTTTTTGAAGCGTCTGAATTTCAGTGGCCACTTTTGCGAGGCAAGGAAAATTCCTGGAAAACCTCTTGTGTTGTCAAGGGCCTCTGGCCTCAAAACTGTGAGCTGACTAAGCATAATTTGCGCGCACTTGGTCCTGCCTTTGTACTTCAGTGCTACTTCAGTGATTCTTGTCTAGTAAGCTAGTTGCCTTTTCACATTCATCAGGCGGTTGAAGATCATACTGTCCCTATTCAGAATCGGGAGCGGATAAAACGCTATAACAGAAGGAGAATAGCAAACCCTCTGTGGTAGGGGTATGTGGCATCTTGGGGCTCCTGCGCTTATGAATCCTTACACCTGTCACCCATTTACATATTTCCACATATGCATATATTTTCTGCCAGGCAAATAAATCTGAGTGACTCAAGAGGGGAGCAACCGACACTCGGACGACAGCCTACTTCGCGGATTTTCGCATACTGGCCAAGGACGCAGCAAGTGATTTTTCTACGGAGGTATGTTCTGTAACTTCGGTTACTGATTATTCGCACCGCAGGAGTCAGAATTCAAGATTCCATAGACCCCTGCTCTATTTCTGTTGTGATTGTTCACCGACAACTGCTCATACGTTTTGTGATTCATGCTGCACCCGAAAACCACGTGACCTCCTATGCGTAGATATTAGCGTCGAAATGGAAATGTTTTCCACCCCATTAATCATCCTTACTTTAATGCTGGCCTTCAACTCAACTTACGCCCACATCCGGCGTTAGCACAACATACCGTCTGATGCAT